GCTACATTGTACAGATATATTGATTACAATTATAAAATACAATATACCAATAGTAGTAACTATTAAGCTTACTTACACATTTAGATAAAAAGGATTCGTTTTTATTAAAATTATAATTAAGAGTAATTGTTCTTACATTACCTATACTTTTACCTACTTTTATAAGTAGTATGTTTTTTAATTTTTATCATATTTTTAGTGACATTTTAGCTAGATGTATACCATGCATTACATTAACGTTTATTGAATCATACCTATTATTAATAGTTTATATAGTATAGTATAATAAAATATTAAATATATTACATACAGTATATATAGTTTACACTCTGTAAATGTAAAATAAATGTAAATTTTGATATTTGTACAACGTATGGAATAAAATTAACTTTTTTTGAAGAATTAGAGTATTTATAGTTACAAATATTATACAGATTTATTGCATAAACTTAGTTATATAAAATATATATCATATTTTGATTAATACCAAACAATACTTCCTGGGACTCATAGAAACATTGACACGAGTGACAGTGTCACATAATGTTCTTTAATTGGTTTTACTGCACTTGATACTAGAATTATTCAGTTATTTAGAAAGTTGCAAGTGCAGAAATCTTTTAGCACGTATAGTTCTTATAATATATATAATTATTTATTAATTAATCATGAGTGAAGCTATTGAATAACTAAACATTAACGTAGTCAACAATTTCCTGATATTTTTTCATATATAAATAAATAAAATTAACTTGTATTTAAAACATACTTAATATTTAGGTAAATATAATTTACGTGTGTATGTGTTTACTTTTGTATTCTGAATAGAATTTACTTAGATCTTACTTTTACTATTTATTTCTAGCTGGGACCACACGGAATTGGTTTATTATTATTCTTCATTGACACACGCGCTTTGGGTACAAGGTGAATGAACACTATTGTTGTCCGATAGTAACACTATACACATACACAGTGTTCATTTAATGGACAAAAAAAACACTGTTTAAAATATTTTGCAGCTGAATACAATAGAAAATTCATCTTCTTCGACCTGTCTTCAAGGCTTCTACTTAAGAATAGACAAAAATTAATTCAAGGTGCACTTTTTTGTTATGTAATATGTAGTTATAAATTTATAATCTCATTTTAATATTCAATTAGGTCATAATACATATTAAAAGCCCAAATAAATTTTACTATAGTAACCGAAAAATGTTGATCAAACTATATTCGGATAATATATTTATTACACGAGAAAAAAAAGAAAATAATTTTAAATAGTATTTTAATAAAATAGTTATAATAATATGGAAATAAGTAAGTATAAATCGAGGTATAAATGATAGAGTAAAATACAATAATGGCTATTATATGAGATGAATACCTAGGATTGGTAGTAACGTTTTACAACAAGAACTAACATACTTTTGAAATACAATATTATTAAAATATTTATCAGGTATTCTAAATATCAATTTATAATTATAATTTTTCCATGTCAAAATATTATTACGAGTATAATTGATCATAAGTGAATGTGCAAAAACAGTATCTATTCATTTTATTTTTGGAAGTTGTTGGGTTTCGAATTACAAGGTAAATGATACGTTTACCTATCCAATTTCGATGATGCTACATAAATTATGGCTATTTTAGTTTTATACGCTTTATAAATGAAAAAAAAAAATGTTTTACATATTTTACGACAGATCTCAATATGTACTAATTGGAAATCGTTGATGTTTTGTAGTTAGAACAATACCTATATAATATTAAAAACTATTAGTTTAAATTTTTAGCCCATTAGTAAAGTAATCATTACAAAGTTTTTTAATAAGAATATAGAAACTACGTATCTTTAAGATAAAAAAAACATGCAGTTTTCTCTTTTACACTATTTATTATTATAAAGTAGGTACTTTAAAGTATTATACTAAATTCGGTTTTAAAACAATAAATTTAAATATATTATGGCGTAAATAATATACACCTTACGTACCTAAGGGCTAAAATAAAAGACAAAAAATAAGTACAGGTGTAGTGTACTAGTGTATTAATTTAAAACTTCAATATATTTTCAATTTTTACATTGATTTAACAATAAAAATAAGTCAAATTGGTATATAGTTAACATTTAACTATTTCATAATATTTTATTATATTTATTCAATTCCATATTCAATTTTTTACATTTGTGTAAAAAGATAAAATACATTCTTTTGTGACATAGAATTTAAATAAAAAAACCTTCAAAATTATGATCTATTATTATGCAACGATGTACTTGCCTAATAATATTTTAAATATATGTAAACTAACTGCCAAAATTTAGTATTTGTCTAACTATATACCTACTAACATCACATCAAACTTCAAATTATCACACGTTGAATATTCACACAAATGTTTATCACCTACTGATTAAACACTCACTTCGAATAACCAATCATAATCATTCTGTTAAACATACCTATAATAATCATATAAGGATAAGATGTATAACATTTTTATAATACTTCGTTATTGAATTTTCCACGTCCAGTTATTTTGTTTCTAATTTGTTTCTACAAAATAGTAAATAACTGAATACTTTTATCATATAATTATGTAAGATAATGTGACGAAAAAAAATTAATTAATAAAAACCAATTGATTTACCTAAAATAGGTACAAATTAATTAAATTACGAGTAACGATATATTAAAATGTTAGTGCTATATAAACATTCAGTTTTAAATCTTAAGATGAATTTTATATGAGTATGAAAATAAACTCTAGTGATTTTTTAGTACTTGATAACTTTACAAAATTTGAAAAAAATTGCATTGTTTTGAACATAATTTTTTTTTTAAATATCTGTCATGAGTTCTTGACTAACGATATAAAACAATGTTTGTAATATTTACTTAAGAAACAAATAATAAAAAAAAAAGGAATATATTTAATATATATATATATATATATATATATAATTACGTTAATCCTCCATATATGGTAACTGATAAGTACTAAAATTTACATTAGTGTTGAAGAATAATTTATAATTTGATTTTGATAATATTACTTATATCATGATCTACGAGTATTTTAAATGAAAACGGGGTGGGTTATTATTTTAGGAATCCGATTATCGGTATATTATTACATATTAGTCATTGTATGGACTACCGATGACGCAATATTGGCTGCTTTCTAGTTTCCACCTATAGGGTATATTCAATATTGTACAAAAATAAGCCAGCTTATGAAAAGTCGAAAATTTGACTAAAATAAGGTGATCTATATATATGTTTGTTATATTATACATTATACTAGTATTGTACTTGTGGGAGGGGGAATGGAAGCGACCCTCAATTTTTTAGTTAATATTAATTTTATAAAATAAAAAAGCTCGTAAAAAAGTAAATATTGAATTTATAAAATAGTAATTAATACTTGTTTAAGAGATAGGCATTTATGTTACTTTTAATAATTAAATTGGTAGACTTGGTACCTTTAACAATACTACCAGATATAAGTAATATATAGGTAGGAGCCTTTATCTTTAAATATCTATTTTAAAATAATAAGAATATGTCAAATGTATAATTAGTGTCCCCTTCACCACAAAACTAAACAAAGTATGATATTGCATAATACAAATACGATTGATAATTTCTTTTATATAATTTAGTAATATTTCAAAACTAATTTATAAAATTGTATTATTTTTTTACGGGTACCATTCATAGTTAGTAAATTTAAAAAAATGACAAAATACGATGTCGTGAATACATAACTATTAATTTTGATAATATAACAGAATTTAAGTACAGGATTGAGTAATAGATTATTGATACATTAATGGTTCATTAAAACTATTTAAAAATTAATAATACTCTCATCTGTTATTTGTATTATATTAAATAGTAGATTTTAGTATGTAACTATAAAAAACTGCTTAAGAGGCGAACGAATATACGTCAAGAGATCGAGACGCTGTTTTTTTTTTTTATAAAATCATATTATTATATTTGTATGATCACTAACCAGGACAAATATAGATCTTCATGTACATTAATAATAAATAAAAATGTTTCGAATGTTTAGTACTAATATTCATCGTTTAACAATAAATTTAAATATTTTTAAATGATACTATTTCAAAAATAAATAGTAGGTAAGTTATTTGTTTCTCTTAATTATTAGTATGATTTATCAAATATAATATTATTAACACGACATAATATATTAATATATAATAGGTATGGGGTATAAGTAGTAAATAACTGAGGAATATAATAATCGAATGTCTAAAATTATAAATTAAATTTTTATAATAATGATTCAATGATTGCAAATTGCAATAATCTTGAATAAATTATTTTAACAAAATAATAACTTGAACATAATTTATACCTATACTCTCTAGTACCAACTTAATCATATTATCGCGCAAGTACTGTAGGTAGCGTATTATACTGGTCTACGTTATTTACACGGTTTTAAAATTTTTATCATTAGGGCATTAGGCATATCACATTTTAAAGGTAAGTGTTTTGTAAATGATTTGTGATTAAAATCAACAAATGGTATATTTAAAGAACGCGTAATAATAAAAAATCCAAGTATAAATTTTAATACTTCATTATTAAAGTACAACAGTCAACAATATATATCGGTACACGGTCAATTTCCGGACAAAATAACAAAACGAGCAACAACATAACGCCAAAAAATACCTTAAATACCTTATATAACTTAACCTATCTATAACCTACATATTATTATTATCTTTTTATTGCTATTCGTAGGCTGTTTACTATATTATCAAATATCAAAACTATCATTTTATACCGAATAGTAAAATGTGCATTGATGTGATATATAAACAATACCACGTCGATGATCGAATAATAATGTGCGGAAAGGAATGGAAATACGGGAGTACGACCGTATTAAAACATTGTTAACATTATATTAAAAAAAAAAAAAGTAAATTATTATTGAGTATTTACCTTCAGCACTTAAAGACTAGATAACACATTCCTCTAATCCGTCACAATGACTATGATAGGTGTATAAAATCCAATTTTGAACGAGGCACTGACGCGCCGCACACACACATACACAGACACGCGCGCACACGAAAGGCCGCGGACCGGTTAAATTAAGATTTTTGATTTTATGCTATACATATTTTGCGAAAAAAATAAATAATTATACGGATTCCTCGACGTGGAAAAAAACCGAAACGACAAAAAAATAACACGAACGAACCGGCTAATAAACTGACGTCGCGCGGACTATTTTAGATTATAATATTATATGACAACACGGAAACTCGCACACCGGCACGGAGCACGCGCACAAGCGGGAGAACGGCGTTCGACTGAAGCCGGTGCACGCCGCGGCAACGTTCCGTGACCGATGGACGGGCGGGCAGGCGGACGGACAGTCGGACGGTCGGCTGTTTTGTAACGAACATTTTCGCCTCTTATTACCTACCTAGGTAGTGCCTACCGCGGTTGTAGCCGATGGTTCTACCGTGCGTGCATCTATTACTACCTTCAATCTACCTGTCTTCAATCCGGACAACAATAAGTAATAACAACAACAACAACAATACGTGTTTTTGTAATGAACGTAGTAGATGGTAGATAATATGATACCATTAGCGTAGTAATAGTAGAAAAAGGTGTAAATAGTACGGTTTGGTAATCTGTGCCAATATTTTACACGTGTTGTCCGGGGCGCTTCGCCTATTATTTATTTTAGAACAATGGTTATACAAGAGCGGATACAAATTATAATATAAATAATAATATTGAAAGTACTATATTATGTGAGATTTATAAATGATTACACTTTTTTATCAGTTATGAAACAAAATAATAAAGTATCATTGACACAAAAATGTGTTCCCCCTTGTATCCGCCCCTGCATACATAAATAATATTATCTATAACGACCTAAGTCGGGCCATCAGATTTTTATATTTTACTAAATGTATAATACCATGTATTATTATTTATTATACTTTGAATTGTTACTGTGACTTATACGATAAAAAGCTTTCTTTCGACAACGAAGAAATCTGGATTTATGTATTCAATAATAATAATAACATGTAATTATTGTTAATGTTTTAGTCATAAAAAAATCACAGTTATTTGTAGACAAATTAATTGTACTTAGATTTTTATTTTTTATTTTTTTAATGGCGAAGGCTACATCACAATGCATAAATTCAGAATTTACATAGTAATTTTGAAAAGAAAAAATTATATGTAATTATACATCATAATATTATTTGTATAATTAGTTGTATTTTTCTTGTCGCGTTCGAAAACAAACATAAACATTATCATTTACATTGTTTTTAACTAACATCAAGTATACATACAAATGACAAATCGGTTTGTATAATTTATTCACCAATTTATTTTATATAGTAATAACTGTATTTTTAAAAGACTTTAATAAGCAAAATAAAACATTCATAGAACTCAAAGGTATTTATAAATAAAATAATTATTATATATCTTATACCATCATATACCATCTATTAAAATGTGTAGGATCAATTATTTTTACTTCAATGGAAAACAATAGATTTAAGTACCCTTGCTAGCCTGTGTAAATAATTATAATATTTTTAAATCATATTTTATTACTATATACTAATTACGTTATTATATCTATCGAATTACAAGCATAGGTATTTATCACGGGGTATAGTGAAAGATGAAATGGTTAAAGTAGGTATAATTTAATAGATATGGGTATTATACTAATATGGAATGTAGTGTAATATACACTGGTATGCAGTTTAGATCCATAAATACACGTCATTATTGCCGAATAACCATTGCGTCATTGCATCTCGGGAATTCGGGTGAAAAAAACCGTTAAAACTTCCTACCCTATGGAACGTGGGTACTGTGTACAAGACAGGTGATGCATTCAGGCAGTTGGATAATAGCGGCGCTTGGAATAATAATAACATAACGAGAGAATGGGCGATGAGTGCACCAGACCAATGACGCCACGATGACGATGACGGCGGTGAACAATTATTTATATTTTATCCGACTATATTATAACATACAGTGTGTTCCATGAAAATTTTCAAATTTAAGCAATAGAAAATTAAAATTTTTCATCTTACCATTTTAAATCAATAAAAAATTTCATGGATCATTCTATATTTTAATATGTACAGAATAATATTATAGTATTAATAACATAATCATTTTATTTTGACATAAGTATAGGTATACAGAGTGATCAAAAATATTATTAATAATCGTTATTATTATAGTTTTTTATTTGGATAACAATTTATATATTATAGTATCATGGGAAGTGGAGAGCACTGTATGTTTACACATAACGTGTTTTCATGAAATATATTTATGTGTCATCATAACAATTTATATAATTACAACTGGTTTACAGGTTATGTATATTTTAGGTACAAACTATAGAGAAGAATTGACGAAAGCTTTTTAAAATATTATCATAGTAGTAGTTACTAGTTAGGTATACATTTATTTAAAAGATGTTAACATTATTTTTATCAAGTGCTTAGGACTTAAGCGTCGCAAATACTGTATAATATTATTACAATCGTCAGTTGTAATATAATATATTACAGCATCGAATACGATGCAAAGGTAACCAAAGTCGTGACTCATATGACATAAATATAATGAGAAATGTAAAAACTCGATTATTATTTACGTTAATTGCATATTGAATGTCATTGATAATCATTTTAATAGCATTTAGTTCCATTAGTTTAGATGTTATATTTATATTTCACAGGACGTTTACAATGAGTTGAGTTTTTTTTTTTATCAATTTTGTATTCAACTTTTGGCTATGGTGAGACATTCGAATGAAGGTAAGACTGAAAATGTCAAACGACGGTTCGATGCTATCGCTATGTTACTATGTAAATAATAATATATAATAAAAGTACTGGAAGTAATTCTGTACTAATTACTACCTAGTAAATGTATAATATTTTATATGATGTTGAAATATGATGTATACATAGGTATACCTGCCCACCGCTAATTTCGATGTCGTGCGGCTACTTAATCAACGGAAATGTAAAAGAAATTAGTCAATAAATAATAAAGATTCGTAAACAATATTTTGAATCACTGACCCAAAAATTGAGTGTACACTGTCGGTCAGTCGCAAAGCAATCGTCGAAAATCGGGCAGTGGCGTGATGAACGTGGAGAAAATAATTAACGGTGGTGTCCGTTTTCTTTCAAGATCGATTTACTGAAAATATCGCGGGTATCTTAGTTATCATCCAGCACTGTAAATATAAAATGAACATAGAGTCGAACATTTTTTTTCTTCGTATAATAATATATTTATAGCAGATTGCAATGATTAACTGAATGGTTAGTCGTTAGTGTGGTAACTGGTTTAATATATGATTTGGGCGAGATTGGATTCTATACTTTCTGGTATATGTAATATACTATGGTATTTACTTATAAACGTAGCAGTATACCCCTAGTTCTTATTAACCGCAAAACTCACTACTCAGCCAAACACAGCTCTCATTTTTTTTTTTTTTTTTTTGAAATCACGATTCACGTTATTAAGGTGGAGTGTGAAGTCGCGTAAAGCCGGATTTCCATTATGCCATATCGTCACTATTGTTTATTGTTCTATTTCTATGTATTATTTATTATGTAAGTATCAAAATATATGTTACAAATTAATTATTAATAATGTATTTAACATTATATGACATATTACGGTTACAAGAATTTCATCATGGTCGAAGGGGATCTTCAGACCTCAGTCCACATTGTATACACAGTCAGTATACTTGCCAATGGGTAACCACTATAATTATCGATGGACAGCCGTCATTAGTTTTCTGTGTTCGTATTTATTCTTTACGTCCGTCACTGACGTTTATTCATCGCGTGTCATTCGAACCTCGATCAAACCGTTTTGCGTGATCGTGCGCATTAATCAAATAATTGTGATGTGTAGTGCAACGAAATTCTAGCGGAACGAGTCCAATACGTATTGTATAATAATCGTAACTTGCGCGATTCTAGACTGTACAGAAGTTAGGTGTACTAAAATTTTAATTTAGATTTGGAGCATACCAATCTACAATTCATTAATTTCTTCATTTAGCCAAACGTATAGCTAAATCATTCGAAAATCACTACCGTAATTACCGTTTCTATTGATATATAATATGTCCAAAGCTTTTCTCTAGGTATGGCATCAAGGCTTAGGTATATGAAAGCTCAAAATTATTAGTATACCCAATTATCTATTTTATATAATAAGCTCATTTATTTTTCTAGTAGACAAATTGTTATTAAAATAAATGATAATGTCTTTTGTTTTCGAACCCATAACAACTAGTGTTTCTCAACGATTAATAATTGGCCTTACTTACTCATAATTATTAAATTTAATGCACACAATCTACATATCTGATATCTTATAGACACCTATGCACTAAACAATATTTTTTTTCAGTTATACAATTATCTACACTAAATCGCACAACATAAAAGTATTAACAATTAATTTATAAAATCATTTAAATATTTTATCATCTTGGTTCAATAATTGGAAAATATCAATACATTTTTCACATAGTGTTCCATCACAGTATTTCATCCTCACACAATTAAAATAATATATCAATCATTTAGAAGTCGATCATCAAGTATTTGGGTGTAACGTTGAATATAAGATTAATATAATTAATTAACGGAAAGGCTAAATTACAGAAAAATATTCCTTAATTTTATTATACATAGCAAGTTCTTAACCCACTGATTGTCTAATTAGCAAAAAATGTACAAGAACTTACTTAAAAGAATTGAACATATTTAAAAATAAACCTTAAGAATAATATCAATTATGCTCTAGGGTATGTAATAAACCTAAACATATACTAAGACTTTGAAATTTCAAAATTTAAAGACCATATTAAAAATTGGCTGAAAGAGTCCATTTACAACTTAAAAGTTAACTGTTTAATTCATTAAAATCTTAACATAGGATCATAATACAGTGGTAGGTCTCAATAATTCAATTATTTAAACTCTAAATTACATGTAAATAATATGTAATATTAAGGTATTTATATCTTATTTATTACTATTAATTATTATTAATTTTATTTATTATATTTAGTAATATGAAACATACATTTAATATATTTTATCGAGGACGGCGTGGCAAGGTAAGAAGTACAGTATATATTATTAGCATTTTCCTTATATGAATAAACAGTTATATATTACAATAATATTCATATACTTCTACGACCGTTATTGGCATTGGTTACAGTTAATAATTTATTGTATTTAC